TTTTTTGTAGCTTCCTTAATAGACGGTGGGAATGCGGTAGACATAATATAACTTGACTTCTGCAAAATGAAAAAAAAAATGGCTGGCTGGGGAATGCTGGGAGTTGAAGTCCACTCATCTTGAAGGGGCCAGGCTTGAGAACAGCAGCTGGGCCAAGCCAATGGCAGAATTAGCCCCAAATGGCTGTCCTGTACCTGGTCAGGGTGTTTCCCAAAATTCAGCAACAACAAAGCACAACTTTGTCATTGAAGGTGGACGGACTACAAGTGGTCCTTGACTTATAAGTTTTTAAGAAGAGGCTGGACAGCTATTTGTCTGAAATGGTCTAGGGTTTCCTGCCTGAGCAGGGGGTTGGACTAGATGACCTCCAAGATCCCTTCGGAGTCTGTTATTCTGTTATTCTTTTTTCCCCTTCCTTTTCCTTCCTTCCTTCCTTCCTCCTCCAACACTGGAAGTTTTTAAGAAAAGACTGGACAGCCATTTGTCTGAAATGGTCTAGGGTTTCCTGCCTGAGCAGGGCGTTGGACTAGATGACCTTGTATTATTATTATTATTATTATTATTATTATTATTATTATTATTATTACTACTATTATTATTCTCCTCGTCTGAGATCAGCACAATCTGCTGTGTTTGTGGCTCAAAAAACCATGCGCCATTTTTCTGCACAGCAAGAAACTCTCTGGAGGTTAGGCCATAACCCCCCCCCCCCAAAGGAGAACTTACTCACACCTCCAGCGTGGACTCCTTGACACTATTTTACAAGAGGTGTGGTGGTGGTGGGGGGAAATTACCGAACAAGCATTTTTCCAGAAGGGAGCCGTTTGCTGACAAGGCAGAATCTCCAAAATTTTGTCCAGGGAATTTGCTGCGAACACAAAACTCCCACCCAGAAGTCCACAAAAAGGGTCACCTTTTTCCGGTTTGGCTTGCAAAGCTGGAAGTGCAGAAATAAAAAGCACCTTTGGCCGTGCGGGAGATTCAGATGTTGCCTGATTTTCTCATCAAGGACTTTATAATGCTAGTCCTTGACTTACAGTACTTCATTTAGTGACTTGGCCCTTTGATGACTGGTGAACTTCAACTCCCAGAATTCCTCAGGCAGGAAACCCTACACCATTTCAGACAAATGGCTGTCCAGTCTCTTCTTAAAACTTCCAGTGTTGGAGCATTCGCTGCTTCTGCAGGAAAGCCCCGTTCTACCAATTATTTGTTCTAATTTCTAATTTCCAGCAAACTTTCTCCATTTCTGCCCTGCTGTGCTAGTCACTCATTTCTGTCAGTATTGATAAAAAGCACCCGGATTACAAAATTAGGGCCATTGCTGCAGGTATAGAATAATGACAATAGGAATAGGAATAGGAATAGAATAGAATAGAATAGAATAATAAAATATAGAATAGAATAATAAAAAATAATAGAATAGAATAGAATAGAATAGAATAGAATAGAATAGAATAGAATAGAATAGAATAGAAGGGACCTTGGAGGTCATCTAGCCAACCCCCTGCTCAGGCAGGAAACCCTACACCATTTCGGACAAATGGCTGTCCAGTCTCTCCTTAAAAATGTCCAGTGTTGGACGGAGGGAGGGAGGGAGGGAGGAAGGAAGGAAGGATAACAGATGGAAGGGACCTTGGAGGTCATCTAGCCCAACCCCTGCTCAGGCAGGACACCCTAGACCATTTCGGACAAATGGCTGTCCAGTCTCTTTTTAAAAACTTCCAGTGTTGTCGCATTCACCGCTTCTGGAGGCAGGTAGTTCCACTGGTTAATTGTTCTACCTGTCAGGAAGTGTCTCCTTAGTTCTAGGTTGCTTCTCTCCTTGACGAGTTTCCATCCGTTGCTTCTTGTCCTGCCTTCAGGCGCTTTGGAGAACAGCTTGACTGCCTCTTCTTTGGGGCAGCCCCTGAGATCCCAATTGTGTCGTAAGTCGGGGCCTGCCTGCAAGCTGGGATGCTCAGCCTTCCCTGGTGTTCCTTGCCAGCCTCTGAGCATCATCGCTTACACCCTGCACGCCACGACGGTGTGATCCTTTGCACACCCAACCAGTCCGACACAAACCCAGAATTCCCGCCGGGTCCCAGCCAGCGTCTTTCCTTCCGGAGGTGCTTGGAAAACGCTTCCTTGCGGGTCAGAGCCAGGGTGCGCTCCCAACACCCCGAGATTGGGTGTTAGGAGGAGTTTTTGTGCGGTTGTGCTTTTTTTTTTTGTGGTCTCCTCTCCGCTTCCCCCCCCCAACCCGCCACATTTTAGAAGCCCCCGTGGGAGGGTGTTCTGCAGGCTTCGCTGACTCCTTCGCATCGGCAGTTTGAACTGCGGGGAAGAACCGTAATTATTCTTTTCCCTTCGGGGTCTTGCGAAAAGAAACAGAGGAGAAATGGAGACGGTGGGGGAACAGAGAGGGTGACAATCCCCCCCCCCAAATCCTTCTTAAATCTCTTCTTCGGTTTTGTTCCAAGCCTGTATTTATTCTGCATTGTGGTTAATTGCAACGTCAGCCAGATGTTGAGGCTGGATTTGGCCTCTTTATCCACTTCTAAAATCCTTCCCAAGGATCTGGGATAGACAGATGTGGCTGTTTGATGGTGTTAAAGAGGGAAGCTCTATTATTACAGTTGGTTGCAAAATCAGCCAGATGTTCTGGATTTGGCCTTTTTATCCACCTCTGAGGTCCTTCCCAAGGATCTGGGATAGACAGATGTGGCTGTTTGATGGTGTTAAAGAGGGAAGCTCTATTATTACAGTTGGTTGCAAAGTCAGCCAGATGTTGAGGCTCAATTTGGCCTCCTTTTCCATCTCTCCGTTCCTTCCCAAGAATCTGGGATAGACAGATGTGGCTATTTGATGGTGTTAAGGAGGAAAGTTATATTATTACAGTTGGTTGCAAAGTCAGCCAGATGTTGAGGCTGGATTTGTCCTCTTTATCCACCTCTCCGTTCCTTCCCAAGGATCTGGGATAGACAGATGTGGCTGTTTGATGGTGTTAAAGAGGGAAGCTCTATTATTACAGTTGGTTGCAAAGTCAGCCAGATGTTCTGGATTTGGCCTCCTTTTCCACCTCTCCAGTCCTTCCCAAGGATCTGGGATAGACAGGTGTGGCTGCTTGATGGCGTTAAAGAGGGAAGCTCTATTATTACGGTTAGTAGCAAAGTCAGCCAGATGTTGAGGCTGGATTTGGCCTCTTTATCCACCTCTAAGGTCCTTCCCAAGGGATAGACAGATGTGGTTTGACAATATTAGTCTCTCCTTGCAGGATGTCAGTCCTTCCGAGCAAAGCTGCCTTTTGCAGTTGACGGATGGGGATTTTGTCAACACCAATGGGGTCCAAGGGTGCTCCAGATGTTTTGGGATTGCACCCAAGGTGCCTATCGCTATTGGTACTATCTTTGCTTTCTTTTGTCACGTTCTATTTCTGTTTTGTGGGAGCAAAAAGGAGCAAAAATCAATTAACAGCTGTCTGAGCCACAGATATGATTGGGCTCAGTTGTAGTTGTAAGTCAAGGACTGTCTATATTTCCAAATAGTGGGGGCCTGGTTTAGGACAGGAGGGAGTTGGGGGTGCCGTGGTCTTGCTGTGAGACCTAGGTTCAGATCCAGATGTTGGGTGGAGCAAACATCTCCTGCTCTGAAGAGTCCCTGGTACTCTCTGAGCTTGCTGGGGTTTTTTTGCAGACATCTTAGGACCCAGCTAGGGAACATCATCAGTGCTAGAAGGGGGGTGGGGTTTGCAGAATGCAGGAAGGAGAGAAGAGAGAGGAGAAGGATGACTATGGGGTCCCTGGTGCTCTCTGAGCTTGCTGGTTTTGTGCAGACGTTTTATTTCCAAACTAGGTAACGTCATCAGTGCACTGATGATGGTGTATAGTTTGGGTACTAAAACGTCTGCAAGAAAACCACCAAGGAACCTATTCTCCACCACCAACTCCTCCTCCTCCTCCTCCTCCTCCTCCTCCTCCTCCTCCTCCTCCTCCTCCTCCTCCTCCTCCTCCTCCTTTCCCTAAATCCCACTTCCTTCTAGAACTGATGATGTTCCTTAGTTGGGTCATAAAATGTCTGCAAGAAAACCACAAAGCTCAGAGAGCACCAAAGTCACTTTCCTCCTCCTCCTCCTCCTCCTCCTCCTCCTCCTCCTCCTCCTCCTCCTCCTCCTCCTCCTCCTCCTCCTCCTCCTCCTCCTCCTCCTCTCTGCAAACCCCACTCCCTTGTAGCACTGATAATGTTCCCTAGTTGGGTCATGAAACATCTGCAAGAAAACCACCAGAGAGCACCAAGGATCCCACAGTCCTTCTCCTCCTTCTCCCCCACTTCCTTCTAGCACTGATGATGTTCCCTAGTTGGGTCATACAATGTCTGCAAGGAAACCACCAAGCTCAGAGAGCACCAAGGACCCCAAAGTCACTGTCCTCCTCCTCCTCCTCTCCCTAACCCCCCCTCCCTTCTAGCATTGATGATGTTCCCTAGCTGGGTCATGAAACGTCTGCAAGAAGACCACCCAGCTCAGAGAACACCAAGGACCCCGGGGTCTGTCCTTCCTTCCTTCCTTCCTTCCTTCCTTCCTTCCTTCCTTCCTTCCTTCCTTCCTTCCTCCTCCTCCCTTCTAGCATTGATGATGTTCCCTAGCTGGGTCATGAAACGTCTGCAAGAAGACCACCCAGCTCAGAGAACGCCATGGACCCCGGGGTCCTTCCTTCCTTCCTTCCTTCCTTCCTTCCTTCCTTCCTTCCTTCCTTCCTTCCTTCCTTCCTTCCTTCCTTCCTTCCTTCCTTCCTTCCTTCCTTCCTTCCTCCCTTCTAGCATTGATGATGTTCCCTAGCTGGGTCAGGAAACGTCTGCAAGGAAACCACCCAGCTCAGAGAGCCCCAAAGAACGCTCACTTCAACCCTGAGTCTACAGATATTCTCTTTTATTGGTATCACCTGCTCTGCAGTCAGTCAGGCCTGTCAGGAGGGGAGGGGGTCATCCCTTGGTGACGGTCTGCCTCTTTCCTTTCCTTTCAGAAATATCGCTACCAAGATGAAGACAGCCCCCCGCTGGAGCATAGCCCCGCCCACCTCCCCAACCAGGTAAAGGCCCCCGAGCTGGTCCACGTGGCGGAGAAGAATCTATCGCAGATTGAGAGCGTCCACGGCTACGTGTCTCACTCGCACATCTCCCCCGTCAAGGTAGGAAGGGGGGGCACGGGTGCCCCGGCCAGGAGACGGGGCACCGTCCCGCCGCTGCCACCACTGGCGCACCTGGCCCCACCCACCCCTGCCGCAGCCCCCCTCCACACACCTGCACCCACTGTGGTCTCTGTCGGGGTCCGTGGGCTGGCATGACGGCCGTGTCCCTATGCCTGTGTGCTAGGCGTGGTGCATGTACGTTGATTTGTGTCCGGGTTACACATGGCGGTACGTGGGTCGGGCGAGGTCCGCCCCGAGTTGCCTCAGAATCCTGTCAGTCACGCCTGCGTGCGCCGCTGTCGCTTTGGTACAAAGAAGACCCGTTTGTGGTGCATGCCAGTCTCTCTGTCGCGTGGCGGGTGCATCAGTGTGGTGCTTTTCTCGACACACAGAATGGCTTCACGCCAGTCGTCTTGGCTGCAAATGTGTTTTGAAAAATGTGCAAAACTGTGTGGTGTTCCGATCCTAGCTAGCGAGAGAGCAACATTCAGCTTTGAATTCTGTGTAGAGTACGACGGCTACGCCCAGCATTTTATGACTGACCTGTTTGAGGCTCCTTAACCTTCCCAATGTCGGGTCCTGTACTGTGCAGGCACAGAACAGCGTTTAAAAGAAGCATTGTCCACCTCTGCTTCGACCAGCTTCAGATTTCCTCTGCGTGTTTCACGTTGTGGTGTAGGGAGGTGGTGTGCGTAACTCATTCCCAGGGAGCAAAAGCATGGGCCAAAGTGGGGACCCTGAGCTTGTGTCATTTCACAACAGCTGGTTGATGTACGGTTCTGCACTCGTGGTGTGTCCTTCGGTGTCTCTGTCTTTGTAGCATGCAGCGGTCCAGCGTACAAATATATGTCTGTTCCTGGCAAATTGGAAGATTGTGTTCTCCAGTTTTCTGTTACTCCCTGAGCTTTTGTGGAGTGTTAGCTGGTTACTCCTGACTTTTTAGAGGTGGAACACAAGTAGTCCTCAAATACGACCAGTTGCTTTTAACTAACTACCTGGCAATACTTATAATCTGGACTTGAAGTTTCAGTGGATTGGGTCCCCCAACTGTCCTTTGACTGCACTTCAGACATTCAACAACTGGACCACCATTACGACCTTTTGCCGCATCCCTGTGGTTGCCTTTTACAACAGTTTTGCTGAAATCCAGCACTTAGTTGTGGCTTTCGGCAAACGCGCACCCCTAGCAAATCATTAGCTTGCTTAATGACTTATTGACCGGGGCAATTCATTTAATGACCGCTGCGAAAAAGGTCATAAAATCAGGCTGACCTGCCTTATAATTATCACAAATTATGACTGTTACGACTGTTTCCAATACAGTCATAACTCAAGGGCCGCCTCTTTCTCGTGCACACACAGAACAACCACATTTTGTTCCTTATAGAACAAAAACATAATCTTGATTTAAAAAAATGGAATTTTGTCAGATTTTTTTTTTAATTTCCCCCTTTTTCCCCCAACTAAGCCCAGGTTAATTTTTGCCTATCGCGGTTCTGTATAGATAGTCTTCATCTTACAACCGTTCATTTACTGACCGAAATTACAACAGCATCGAAAAAAGTGACTTAGAACCATTTTTCTCATCATTGCAGCATCCCTGTGATTTATATTCGGATGCTTGGCAACTGACTCACATTTATGACGGTTGCAGCATCCCGGGATCACGTGATCCCCTTTTGCAACCTTTTGACAAAGCAAAGTCAGTGGTGAAATCAGAGTCACTTCACTTAATTTAACAACTGAACAACGATGGCCAAAAAGTCGTAAAAAAGAGGCAAAACTCCCTTAACAAATGTCTCCCTTAATGACTGAAAATTTTGAGCTCAATTGTGGTCGTACGTTGAGGGCTACTTGTAATAGATACTGCTTTTGCCTTTGCCCCAAAGACCAATGATTTCAACATAAAATCATGGAGAGGCACCAACGTGCCAACGTTACAGCACAAAGCTAGATGTGATTCTGGCAGGTGGGTGGGCTACAGCCTCCGGCCCTGAATTCAGAAATATGTACTTAGCAAGTTTGACACCCGGAGTGGGTCAATTTTTAAACCTCACCTACTCAGTCACTCCTGTGCCCGGCCACCAACTGTCCAGCAGCTGATCAGTGTGCTGACACCGCAACCCAGAATCCACACTTACTACTGTCCTTCTGGAGAACCACTTCCTTGTTGTCATCAAATGATCAGACTGTCATGGTTCTGACCGATGGAACTCTTCAGAGAACTTCGAGGCATTGTTTACCTTAAAGAATCTTTATTCGAGTAGCAACACATCGGCACGGACATAGTCCAAGCCAAAATCTGGCTTCCCCTCCTCTAAACACATAGTATCAGCGCACAATTCCCTCCTCCAACTAACAGTCATAAATCACATTCTCCAATTCGTTTGAAATGTAGGCTTTCCCACCAGTTCTACCATCTGCCATGTCTTATCGGCTCTTATTACAAAGAACCTTGGTTTCCAACCATTCTACATTATTGTTTTGTCTAACTAAACTCCCAAACACATTCCTCTCCCTTCCCCCCATTATCATCTAATTCTAAGAGTAAAACATAAAAGTAAAGGGAAATGGTTGCGTCTCCATATGTTGTCAAAGCAAGAACATTTGATGTTAGCAGTGTTGACATAGACACTGCACACACACCCCTGGCCTACATGTGGGACCAATGTTCCCCATCAATCCACCCTGGTGATAGACATGTGTATATGTCCTTATGAGTGACAATCTTTGTAGTTCAGGGTTGAATTGTGGAGTGCTTGGTGTTCTCTGAACCTGCTTCTTTGCTTGCAGACGTTTCATGTGCCAAGTAGGTAACGTCACCAATATCAGTACTGGGGTGGGTGGGTGGGTTGTTCTCTGTTTGTACACAGTACTTCGCCCTGCCAGTGTTGATGGAGGTGTGTTTTTCTCCTTGTTAGTGCCTTGATTCAAGTATTGTTTTCTGCTTGGTTTTTTGTCTGGTGTTAATCCCTGCTTATCTGAGTGTCGGTTGCTGGAGACGATGTGTTCCAGTTGCTTTTTTTTATTGTCTCTTTGGAATGGGGGGGGGGGTAAATGTGATTTATTGCTTTGTGTCCGCTGATGGCTGTTTTGTTGGAAAGCCAGGTTTCCAGGAATTCCCTAGTATTTTTGGATTAAGCTGGGTCCGAGAGGCCCACCGTTTCCCAGTTGAGTCTGTCCATGTGTTGTGAGAGTAAGCAGTGTTCATTGTGTCTTCTGACTGCTAGTTGGTGTTCGTGGATGTGCTCCACTAGTCTTCTGCAGGACTCTGTTACAGTCGATACATTGCACGTTGTACTTCAGTGGTCCCCAGTTTTTCCAATTTTGTGGCAGCAGCAGTGTGGGGGAGAGAGGCGCCTCTGTGTGTGCCCGCCACTTGTGCAAGTGAAGCTGCGTGCACTCACACCCTTGCCTACCGTTTGGGCAAGTGGAGCTGTGTGCACCCACACGCTTGCCTACCGCTTGGGCAAGTGGAGCTGTATGCACTCATATGCTTGCCTACCACTTGGGCAAGTGGAGCTGCATACACTCATACCCTTGCCTACCGTTTGGGCAAGTGGAGCTGTGTGCACTCACACCCTTGCCTACCACTTGTGCAAGTGAAGCTGCGTACAATCACACGCTTGCCTACCACTTGGGCAAGTGGAGCTGTGTGCACTCACACGCTTGCCTACCACTTGGGCAAGTGGAGCTGCATACACTCACACCCTTGCCTACCGCTTGGGCAAGTGGAGCTGCATACACTCACACCCTTGCCTACCGCTTGGGCAAGTGGAGCTGTGTGCACTCACACGCTTGCCTACCACTTGTGCAAGTGAAGCTGTGTGCACTCACACGCTTGCCTACCACTTGGGCAAGTGGAGCTGCATACACTCACACCCTTGCCTACCGCTTGGGCAAGTGGAGCTGCGTACACTCGCACGCTCACCTGCCACTTGCACGGCCTGCTTCAGAACGGGCCACAACCCAGGAATTGGGGATCCCTGTTGCAGATGACCCGTTTTGTTTCTTCTTCTTGGGCTACCAGGAGTTTCGGAGATGTGTGTCCTCTTCGTGGTGTTGCTGCAGTGCGTTTGTCCTCGTCTGGATAATGTTCTTCCACAGCAATTCTGGTGGGAGGTTGTGTTGTTACTTTGCTAAAGGACCACTAAGTCAGTGTGGGTTGCTTTTCAGCAGAATTGAAGTCTCTAATTTGCCGTTGCATCTTCTGCTGACGAGTCCACCCAGGAAGGCTAGCGTGTGGTTGTTCCCTTCTTCCTTTGTGAGTTTTATTCCTTTGCAGATGTTTCTGATTGTCTCCTGTGTCGTCACGGTCTAGTTCTTGCATTTTTATTTGGCAAACCGTCTACAGGCGGTCCTCGATGTTCAACCTTGCATTTAGTGACCGTTCAAAATTACGACGATGAAAAATGGGACTTATAACCATGTTTCGCGCGTGCGTACGACGGTGGCAGTATCCCGGTGATCAAAATTCAGACGCTTAGCAACTGAATCGTATTTACGACAGTTGCAGCGTCCCTTCTAGCACTGATGGGTCTCCCTTTGCGACCTCCTGACACGCAAAGTCAAGCCAGATTCGCTTAACGACAATTTGACTAATTTAACAACCACAGCAATCCACTTAAGAACGGTGGCAAGAAAGGTTGTAAAACGGGTGGGGCTTAACAAGCGTCTCACTTAACAATAGAAATTTTGGGCTTAATTGTGCCCGTGCGTCGAGGACTACCTGTACAGGATAATAAGGGTTGGAAGAGATCTTGCAGGTCTTCTAGTCCAACCCTCTGCTCAAGCACTAATCACAGAACTATCAAGGACAAAAGCACACCCCCACCAACACGGGCAAGAGAAGCGACTGTATATACACAGGGAATTAACCCAACACTCCCTTCTAGCACTGATGATGTTCCCTAGTTGGGTCATGAAACGTCTGCAAGGAAACCACCAAGCTCAGAGAGCACCAAGGACTCCCATAGTCGTCTTCCTCCTCCTCCTCCTCC